TATAACATCAGCTTTAGCTTCCATAGGCATTTTTATGTATTTGTTTTTATTGATTAGTGAGAATATTGCCAAAAATGTGATAAATGATTCATAGAATACCACAAGGATAATGGTACAAACATGTCATTAAAAAAGGTTTCATTCATTCATATATTTGAACACATGCAAAACATTTCAATAATATACAGAAATTTTAATAAATCATTTTAAAATCAAGACAGGCCAGGATGATAACAAATTAACACAATGGTTTATTTATGTTTGCTCCCACAAACAAAAAAAAGTACGTGATTAAAATCACTAGTTTTGTTTAAGAGTCCATGTGTTTGTTATTGTTAACCGGAATTGGTTGCTAAATATAATCCAACTTGGCGTTTTTAACAGTTCGGAAACTTTTAAGTAGAATTAAGGAGAATGTTCCATTCTTGTATAGCAGTGACGTAAAAAGTGCCACCCCCCCCCCAACAAATTCAAATAGTTTTATTTACAAACAAACACCGGCAATCCAGAGGTGACGGAACTAGGGGTTGCTGTGTTATGGAGAGTAATGTGTGACCGGAAATGGTCTGCAGTCAGTTGGTTGTTACCATGCGCCATTGATGTTGGAGTATAGTACAGCAATATGAGAACTATTATGTAGGCCTAATGAATGAATAAATGTCGGAGTTTGTCGGGTAGTGAAATGATTATTTCACATTTTAAGTGCTCCCTAAATTCATAAGTGTAAACTAAATTACGGTGATTAATTTAATTAGCGAAGATATGGAGACAATTATTTCGAATCCCTCTTTCCAAGAGGGGGATGCAAATGATGCTTTGTGAAAACGAGTACGCCGCGGTACTCATTTTCACAAGGAAATACACACAACTGGTTAGCTAACAATTATGTCAATGTTACATGAACACCTGGGAAGGAAGGTGCAATCACGTTGTTACCTAGCAAACGTCTGTACTGTATGGGGGAGGGGCTCCTGATGTACTGTGTAGCGGGGGACGATGAGGCATAAGACTTACAAAGTTTCTGGGCGTAAATTCCCTTAATATGAATGAAGGGTTGCTCAATCTCCTTGCCATACAAATTACAGCTCCTACTGACGTCTCAGTCGAGAAATACGGGTAGCTGAAGTTTTTCTCGCAAATCTGACTACAAAACCATATCCAAATTCACGTTCCACTTTTGTGCCTGGGTCGTGCTTCGCACTCGCCGCTGAGGGCGGCGTTCCGGGAACCCTGCGTCAAGGTCCTTTTCCAAGCCAAAGTCTGCCGAGTAACTGGTTCGTTTTGTTTGGTATTTATTGTAATTATGTTTATTAGTGATATCTTAGTAAAATTAAGTACCGGTATGTTTTTTTGGGGGTCAAATCACGATATATAAACTTGTAATTCGAATGTGTAAAAAAGGCATTAAAATACGTCATAGAACGCTAAAAACGCCGGAGCGCCAGGGGCAGTACTTTTATCATTTATGATTAGAGCTATATCATTTGCATACATGAATGGTTTGCAGCTTACACCAATTTGTGTTGTTATGAATGTTAATGGCCTACTGCCCTCAGTTACACCGCATGATATGAAGAGTTGTTGACAAATATTATTGGCTTTTCCTGCAGGAAAAAAAAAAACATTGTTTTTGTTCAGATTGTTTTGCTTTTCCTGCTTAGCAGAAAAATCCATTGTTTTTGCTCAGATTTTCTTCTTCTATACCATTTTCCTATCGTTTTGCACAAGGTTTTTCTGTCTGGCACGTTGGTCACTTTCCGTGTTTGGATCTTCAAACTTTTTCAAAGCAAGACCATTAACGATATGCATATTAAAATATGACGTCATTCTACATATTTTAAATATTAATAAACGTGTACGTAATTAAACTTTGTTAACGCTATTTGCTAAGGCTATGTTGAACACAAAAACATCGTGAAATGCATGAACAATTTTCGCCCTCGACTTATAGGCCTAATATTATGGATGTAGATAAACTAAAAATACATTGATCACCGGTCGGTTAATGGCAAGAATTCTCAGAAACATTACCTGCGCTATTATTACTGCAGCCAGTAGAGTTGGTGTTCATGTTTGTTTTGTTTTAAACTTCATATTTTTTTTTAGGATGACTTTACAGTATTTTTGTTTTTCCATGTATTGTCATAATTTTTAATGATTTTTTTGTAATCTCAACATCACTTTCCCTTATGGCAATGAGGCCTACATGTTCTTTTTTACAAACAAGCACAGTATGTCTGGTTTAAGCATGGAGGAATTAGTGGTCAGGACGATTATGATAACGTTGATGAATTCATTTCTTTTATTGACAACTGTACATACCGGTATGGTCATATGAGTAAACAAAAAAAAAAAAAAAAAAGACGTTCAATAAGTCTGAAAAATTATAATAATGGTGATGACAATGATTAAGACGACGACAGCGCAAATGCAACAACAGAGCAATAGCAACATCTGTAGTGGTAGGGATAATGGTAGTAATATTGTTAGTAGGAGTAATAATAGTAGTAATGGCATTGTAGTAATAGATAGAAATAGTAATATTAAATACTAACAGTGATAGTGGTATAAATAACAGTAGTAATATTAACAGTAACAGTAGTAATAAAGAAAACATTTGTGACACTCTAATATCACTAAACCCGAAGTATGCTTTTCTCGTTAACAGTCCAACAGAAGAAGAGTTACGTTCATGGAGTCGCAACTTTGATACGATGATGAGAAGTAGCAGTAAGTACCTCAACTGATCATCTTATTAAAGTCCAGAGGGAAGATAGTAGGCTACGGGGCTATAGATTTGACCATTCCCCGAATTTAGAGCAGTCAGTATTTTAATTGTATTTGTTATCATTAGACTTTATTGTTTATTATTATGATACGGTAGTACTTGCTATTTTAATACATTTTAGACCTTTAACTACAATTTAGGGCCTATTCATTTTACTTGTTACTGCTTTTCTTTTTTTTTTTTTAAAGAAACAAAACGCAAATGAAAAAGAATTGAACAGGGAGGAATGGATAAACCATAAAATTGAACTACTATTCTTTTGCATTAAAGTAGTTTTTCAAGCTTGCTCGATCAAAGTAGAATTCTTATTTGCTGTCTATGAAATGTTATGTCTGCATGATGTGTTAAAATTACGTGTCATGTCAAATATTGTAAGTATCCACATGGTTACCGATTCATGACTTTAAACCTGTTAAATTTTTTCTATTATATAGAGGGATTACAGGCGTTTCGTGGATTTCTGTGTTCAGAATACAGTGAAGAGAATTTGATGTTTTGGTTAGCATGTGAAGAGCTTCATACAATATCTGAGGCCGTGAAGGTAGAAGAACGAGCGCGCCTCATGTATGAGGATTATATTTCAATATTATCACCTAAAGAGGTAAATCATTCTTTTTGATTTGAAACTTCTTCATTTTTTGAGAACCATCAAGCACAACGCAATATCAACTTTTGTGACCGTTCTAGGTTATGTAAAAAAAAAATACGCTAACCCACGTTGCGGCAATTTTGTTGGAAATTATGTTAAAATAAGTTTTTTTTTTGTTCTTACAAAAAGCTCTGAAAACTAAACTGTAACGTTATTAGTTACGGTACCATTGTCAACTGAGCCATTTCTTTAAAAAAGCGAATAAGGTTAGATGCAAAACGTACAAAGAAATATTTCAACTGTTATTATATCGGTCCAGCTGCGATAACTCGGTCCTTCCCTTTTGCTGAGTGCTTGAGGACCATTATTCCGCTTCATAAATAGAAAGTAAAGAGTAATATCGGCGTGGTAAATGGTGATTTCGTGCCCTTTATCTGGTTCTTGTTCAGTATTTTATTTGATTTACTTATGTTTTTACATAGCAAACAACATATAAACATGAAGTTAGCAAATCACAAAAGAGTAGGCTGGGTATATCGACGATGAGCCTAAAATTACAGAAAGGCCAGGTAACATCTCCCAATTACGTACCTCTCAGAGAGTTTTCGAAACATCTCAGTGTGAGAGGTAGGCCTGGATAGTAGTGCTGCTACACAGTAGGCCTACACAGGGCCGGCTGCCTTGTTTTGAAAGTCTTCACTGATGGAGAAACTGTAACAGGCAGGTTGTTCCATAATTTGGGAGCAGCAACCATAAAAGATCTGTCACTAAATGTCACAGTACGAGAAGCAAAAGTAAGCGCCAGTATGGGTTGTAACAGAGAGTAGGGGAGATTTCCCGCCGATAACATGAACAGTTATACCGAGTAAAGGAAACTTGATTTCTTGCTTCGAACAAGGCATCCATTCATAGAAGTCATATGAAGAAAAGCCCATCTGAGAGTGACTCTAGGGTGGTCGAGACCAGGACATATCTCCGACGTTAAATCGGACAAAGATTGAATTATGTTAATTATAGAACAAGTATACAGAGACTAGTCCATAAACCTAAACAATTATATTAAAAAAATAATAAATGTATGTGTAAGTAATCTGTTGTAATTATGAGTAAAATAACGTAAAATATGAAAGAATAAATGAAGAAGAAAGAATAGGAAAGAAACTCGGAGCGGCTGAAATATATGCAGTACTGAAAATATACAATAATAATGAGTATGTCATTATTGCATTACGTTTTTGTAAAAATTTGAAGGCACTAATCGTCACGGTGCCGGCAGCCTACACATTTCATAATTTGAAATCGAATTAGACTTCTCTGTGGCTCTGGGTGGTAATGTAGTGGCTCTGGGTGGTAATATAGTATACCGCCCTCTGGGAAGAACATCCGTATATACTATACAGATAAATTTTGATTTTGGGCGAGCTGAGTGGATACAATTGATATAAATGTTGCTGGGCGGATGTAGGGGAGAGGTGCAGACGGTGCGATCGCACCCCCTAAATTGTATTAGGATAAATATTTGTTGTATTGTTGATGTGAATTAACGGCAAGCTGAGGTATGAGAGTGCAATTTCCGGGCACCTAGAGGTTCATATTCTCAAAATGTTCGCAACTCACCCCAACCACGTTGGGCTGAGGTGGTGTGGACTCTCACGCACCCCTACCGCCAAATCCTGCATCCGCCCCAGTGCGGCTCTATTAATTTATATATTATAGTCAAAATTAGATGGGTATTCAACAAAGGGATCCGTAAGCACAATGGTCTTTGATGAGTACTTTATATACAAGTATTATACTCAAGATTAGAGCCTTCATTGAGTATCAGTATATCAACATCCAGTCTGTTTTATTTTATCGGGAACAAATATTTCAAAGTAAACATAAAAGAAGGTGACTTATTTATTTTATGACTTGTTTATTTCGTTTTGAAATCTGGGGGCGGGAGGGGGGTTGGGGAGGGGAAATGAGGGGAAAGAAATTATTAATTGAACAATAAGCCAATTTAGTATTATATTTGTAGGCTGGCGGTAAATGTAGGCCTATTACTTCAATGTATCAAAGCAGTCACCTGTTTTAATTTTGCATTGATTCAAATACACGCTCATATGCTCTGGGGTGGAGCAAAGTCTTCCCGGATAAAGACTATAAACTGTAGACCCAGTGTACACAATTAGCTTAGTGTGCACTATAACGAAATAAAGAAACCCGAGAATCTACTATCAATCACTTGTTTTATTCTTGCATTGATTCAAATCATCCAAGGCCCATACAAAAACTGAATCCCAGGGCCGTAAATTTTTTTCTAATAAAATCGAGCACAGGTCCTTCGCAACAAAATGAATGCTGTCCCCAAGTAGCAGTGGGTACTGCATAGAGGATATTATATGAATCATTGTTTTAAATGATTTTTAGGGTTTTTGTAACTTTTACCACTCACCGTCTATCTCAAATTTTGGAACGGATATTGAGATCTCAACTTGAGTCTCAGTCAAAAAAAAAGCTCTCGTAGTAGTTTGGTTATATTTCAGTTCTTTAGCAATCTATTTATAATAGTCGTATGGTATTAACTTTAATAATGTAATGAATGTTTATTATTCAAACTAAAACTATTCGATAATAGTTTTGTTCTATTTAATGTGTATATTTATTTTTACCATAGGTAAGTTTGGATTCAAGAGTCCGTGAAATCGTGAATCGTAACATGGTGGACCCGACTGTGTACACTTTTGACGAGGCACAGCAACAAATATATACCCTTATGCAAAGAGACTCTTTCCCTAGGTTTATAAATTCGAAACTCTTCAAGACATTGTTGCTGAAATCTCAAGAAGCCAGCAGCTAGATGAAGTTACATATATTCTTAGAAAACTAGCAGACTTGTAATAGTTGGATAAACTCGCCAAGCGGGAGCTGTCACTGATACAAGAGATGGGGTTCGACACGTGTTGCAGGATATTGACCAACGCAGAAACAGTTGTGTGATTTTTGACACACTGCCTGTGGACACAGGGCCGCATTTGTTCCTTAAAAAGGAAGGTAAAACATTAATTGTTAGAGTACATTATAGACCAACCTGCATAGACTTTGATAACAGGAGATATACTATGGATAGATTTATCTACAGGCTGTGTCTATTAATACCTTTCGTAAATTTTATTAACGAAAGTGCTTATCGATATGTTTTCAAAACGTAACGAATAATACTCAGATAAAGACGGCATTGTTTTTTTTAGAGCAGATTGGTATTAAAATACGACGTATGTTTCATTTATTTGTGACAGCGCGTATGAATAATCAAATTTTTTAGTAATATTCAGGACACAATCTTTTCACTTGTTTATCTGATATTATTTTGGTATAACATTTATCGATATTACCATGTTGTAATATACATTGAATAGAGAACCGACAGGCCATTCTTATAATATTTTTGACGATTTTTTTCTAGATGATTTTCTTGCTTTGAATTTCAAAAACTATAATATCCCATTCTATTTTCACTTTTAATTACTTTCTGAAAATGTATAAGTTGTTTTGATATCAACGTGAACTGAAAAAAGAATACAAATTATGAATGCTTCCAGCTAAGGATTTCTGCTCGCTTGTGATGTTCATTTATTATTTTGCACATGATGTATAGACAACCTTCTTACCACATAACTAGGCCCTATTAAGGATGTATAGGTTTATATAGCGGTCATTTTTAGGTGTGCAATCATGGTAAGGTTAGTTGTATCGAAGTATAGAATATGCAGTTACCAGTAGACCTTAATGATAGAGGTTTAGGTAATTTGTTTATTTCTCCAATTAATTTTAATCTTCATAACAGTTTCGTTTGGGTACTGATAGCCTAATTTGATTTCATATTATTCATTGTAAGATCCACGATTGCCAACTGTCCTATATATAATTACACAACGGTGCTTCGTACTGGTGCTTTACTAAATATTTGTTTATATCCATATATCCTGGATACTATAAGAACTTTCTCACCTCTTGTTATATTATAGACGTTTTATTGACTTCGCTCGGAAATTCAATCGAAAATTTTAAAGATGAACATTAAATAAAATTGTAATATTGTAAATAGGTCTAGAAGGAATCGGACATATTTGAAGTTTTTTTTTTCAGAACTACAAGTTGATCACTTTTTATGTTAACATTATACTACTAGCTTGTGCTGCAGATGCAAATTGAGCGTATTGATTTGCCTTTACGCAAGAAATCAACATCGACCACACTATGAAAAAAAACCAAAAAAAAACATTGGTATGGAACGTGTATTTGTACGCATTGTACGCACAATGGGCAGCTCTCGTGCAAAAGAACATGTGGTCCAAAATAACTACAATTCTGTGTCAATTGTTGGTTATTGCAGTATATCTTAAAAACCCCTTTCTCACTGAACCTGGTCAGAATTGATCGTTCCAAACACATATCTGTCTTTGCTGGCACCTTGGTTCCTTGAGTTATGATTCTGTTAATTAGTTACATAAAATAGCGCTAGTGCGTACCATTTTATGAGTGCCAAACACCGATTGCACCTCAAATAATTATTGCTGATGAATCTTATAACGTCGATTTAAACAACTTCATTTCTTGTTACAATTTTAGTGTCAGTATCGACTGTTGGGGAAATGCATTTGGGAGAACGCTTTGCCTGTAAGCTAACTGTTATGTGGACGCAGGGTGTATCAGCTCAACATTACGGCATAATGGAGTTTAACGCCCAGTGTCTGACATTTTTGTAATTGTAAATTATACAATAATCGACCGATTTATTCATCTCCAGTAGCGTCTCACATATTTTGACTTAAACAATAACAAATAGAAAATATTACCAACAGAATGGTTTCGAGCAGAGATGGTTAATTGGTTGAAAAATGTATTGAAGTTAGCAGGAAATTCGTTTTATTAAACATTATTTTCATTAAATTTGATTTTATGAGAATACTGTAAACTTACTGTAAGTTATTTATTTACAAACTACGGGTTTGACAGGTAAGACGTTTCAGAATGATTGGAATTTGTATGACAAGTTTGCCTAAGCCTCGTTCAATTAATACCTAGGCATATATACCATGGACGATTGCTCATTATGTACATTTCTCATTGTAGGAAGTACATTATACAGTTTCTTTTCCCTTTTCAATTAATTTTTATTCCAGTAGGTCAAATTAGGATAAATTATATTTAGGGCCTACCAGTGACTTTAAATAACTTATTACAGTATAGGTGTTATGATGGCAGAAATAATTTTCGTTCGATCGTTGGTTAAATTCTTACCTGAATCACTTGCGAATTATTATAAGTATTTAGGGAGGTATTAAGAACTCGGAATTGTGATAGTTTGGGTGTAAAAAGCAGCATCTCAGATAACTCGCGTTCAGATGGACTGTACATTACATCAAACTTAATGTATTTTGCAACACCATGATACTGTGTCTACAGTGAACACCGCCACCGACTAATTTCAATGTAGGCCCCTATTACTAAGAAAAACACTTGCTGAAAAAACTGGAACCTCCAGAAAATCAGCAATACACATAGTAGGCCTATATTCGATAGTTAGACTCTAATCATCCTTCAGGTGTGTGTTGCAACTGCACCATCGGAAAAGGATATTCTTTCATATTATGTTTATAACACCGCAGAGGCGCTGGGCTTATGAATAGTAATTATTCATTTTCATCCGCCATCCATATTTTTACAGTTAATTAAATATCTTCACTCTGTACAGTATGATAATATTATTTTGATGATCCTTTACATTTTTACTTTTTTACCACGATACTATCATGCTTTAAGACCTACTCATTATCATTTTTCCCACTTTCGTCAAATAATTCTTTCACTCGGATTGGGATTGACGAACGCAGGTCAGTTGAAATAAGAATTTGGAATCAATTGTAGTGTTAAAATTTGCGACTATATACATTTGATATATAATGTATGAGAGTAATTGTTTAAGTTTTAATACGTTCTTCATAGAGTGTTTGTATATCTGTTTTATATACGCCTACGAACACGTATTAATGTTAATTGTCAACATTAACTGAATTGTTTATAATAACTTTTCAACAAGTCGATGTGGATCTTTCAAGTTATTATTGTCTTTGAAATTTGTTCTTTTCAAGATTTTGAATGTTAAATTTTGTCGTTTATAGAAATGTACCAATAGTGTTAGCCGATGTTAATTTAAAACCAATAGAAATACTATGATTGCATAATAAAGACAATAGTTGTAAAATGTATTGACAATTAATGTAAACAATTTCGTTGAGTGATAGTTGTATTATGAATATCATGTTGAGTTCACTTTCCCTCAATTTATGATTTCACTAAAAGTTAAAATATGTAAACTACAGTGATGATGTGACGTTGGTATTAAATGACAGTCATCAGCATTTGTATTGTAGTTGATCAACTTTGATTCAATAAAACAAACGATACTTATAAATTGCCTTTGAGTACGATGTATCTAATAACAAACTAGTAGGAACCAATCAAGATTATAAAACATAACAGATAGAACTTATAAATGTAAAAAATACCAAGCATATTGAAAAGATCGCCATTCAGTGGCGTAACGGCAAGTGAGGAAGCCCGGGGGTGGGGGAGGGAGAAAGTGTTGGAGGCCCATGTATATCAGTTGAGAGGCGTATTTTCGGTCACGTATTAGGCGAAGGGTTGTGTGTTTTGAAGAAAAATTTCCTCTCCAAATCTAAGTATTTAAAAAAAAAATAAAGACTGCATTATTTGCAATACTTGAAAAAAAAACATGGAGGGCCTGTTTTGCGACTATTTTAAACTGCGGGATCAACTTATGCTTGGATGCTTAAAAATTGTGCATCTTTAAATCTGTACAATGTCATTTACTTACATTTTGCCTACATTCACATGAAAAATACATGAATATAACATTTGTTATTTTCTATAATGAAGAATAAGAAGGAAATCTTAAATCGTTACATTAACCTGCAATCTATCGTTAAGGCAACATTTGGGAATTAAAGTTAAAATAATAAAATTATAGTTGCAATAATCTACAATCCAACCTCTTCTACCCCCTGAGCCCAGTTAGTTCATCTTTGCACACCTCCACCCCAATTATGCATTAAGAGATAGAGAGAAAACAGAGTTTAACATTTGCAACACAGAATATTGTGTACTGTGATTCTCTGGCGTTAAAAAAAAAAATCAAAAAACGATAATGTCAACAATGTAGTAAAGTGCCGGCTAATAGTAAGGGCTCCTTATTTGTACCGGATTGAGCGTTCGCCCAGAAAGCAGTAGGCGTTCCGCTATTGGTCAATGCTCCGTAACAAAGTGCTGTTTAATAAAGGGAGGGACCCTAGGCCCAACCGGTTCCCTTTTGACCCAAGAGGTGGATACTAGGCCTATATAAGCAGGTGGTTCCCAACCTTTTTCCATTCGCGGACCCTTCGGGACAATTCAACAATCTTCAAATGTCAAAGTCACATTGCTCATTGTCCATATTCCAATAATAAGATTATAGATAGAAGATGATTCGAAATTTGTTAAGCTTATGGCACTGTCAGACAAAATTTACAATTTTCCTTTATCCCCTTTTATTTTTAATTTTCTAAAATTTAAATTTAGGGCGATTAATTTTTGACACCAATGCGATTATGGATAGAAGTTGATTCGCCATGGGCGGGACCTGATTTGAAAGGTAGGTGGGGGGGGGGCATTTCGTGAGACCACACCCACCTCAGTCCCATCATGGTTGGGGAGGTGCGAAAATTTGAGGAAATAGTACGGTGCTCTATAAATGACCGGAAACACTTCTAGATGGCCGGATATGGCACCATCAGATACAAAAATTGAATTCAATATTCTGTTATCACCCATTTACATTTAGTTTTGTAAAAATTAGGACTCCCTCCTGATTTTCAAAATTTACTCAAGATCCAGGTAAAAGCAATACAAAAGAAAACATGCAAACAAGTTGTACATTACAGGGGATTGCCACTATAAAGTGGCTCTCCTACACAACATCTTTCATTATTGACAAGGCATGATTAGCAGTAAGATGGTTATCACACTGTTGCAAGAAAAGAAAAATAATGGAATCGATGAAAAATTAGTCTAAAAATCTAGCAGACCCCCCAAATGTTCACAGATCTCTTGCGTACCCTTTTGACTTTGTGGACCCCAAATTATATTTTCGGAACCACTGATACACCACACATCCTATATTTGTGGCACATGTAATAAAAATTACTATTCTCTGTTAAAAGTAATATTTTCACTAACTGAATATTTTAAGGTTAGGTTCAGCTAAAATAAAAACCAATAACATCCAACATTAGAAATTAAGAGTTTTCAATTAAAAATTCGAACGAAACCATTTTTGTCCACAAAACACTGGCAAAATTGGCAGCGGTTGCGAGTTGAAATCTTTCTGGGAGATCTGGTGAATTAGATTTTACATAACACATCTAATTTTATTTTGCTGTGCATGGTGGTACCCATCGTCACAGTCAACTTAAGCCGTTTCCATACAATTGCTACACAGTCGCTACAGCGTTTTCACTGCAATCCTTGCACTGCATAGCTGTCCCCGGCGAAATCGGGAGCGCTCCGGCCCTGATTCAAATGACCAATCAGCGTAGCTAAATGAGCCGGCGATAGCGTGTAGCGATTTGTATGGAAACCAAGCTTAACGCACTTTCATAGTATAAAGCAAAACTATTATTGAACATGAGAATATTACATTTTTCAAGAAACTATTCATGAAATCAGAGATTAGAAATCAATGAATCTTCTGGATACAAACAATATCATGGTCTACAAAAAAGTTGTTAAGATTCTGATGTAATAAGTGGAATGTTTGTTTCATTATTTATATTCAAAATGCATTTGTACTACGATTAATGACAAGATTCTGTTTCACTATTGGATCTATATAATCAATTTCAATTAGATTAAAATCCTGATTATTATGAGTTTCGGTATATATTTTACTGTACATCACACATTCATTATGCACTGATACAAATGTTCACACAAAAACATTCAAACCAGATCAATCTCCTATATCATCCTTTTATTTCTTCAATATTCATTTGGACAAATCCACACAATACAGCAATAAGTCCAGTAAAATAAATCTACGAATATATAATATATTATACAAACTTTAAAATCGTATAGGCCTAATACTCATTGTGGTTAAAAATAGTGTATTTTTTAAGTTTATTGGCTTTTTCCGCACAAACAGAAAAGCCATCGTTTGTTATCAGATCTTTTTTTCCCTCTTCTATGCAGTTTTTATAAATTTTTGCACAGGGTTTTTCTGTCTGCCACTTTTCGTGCTTGGACCGTCTTCAAAATCTGTCCAAGAAAAAACATATCGGTATTCATTTGAAACAAGCCTTTTATAGTCAACAATACAGTTCTCATCAGGATCATTAACCCTTGATCAAATAATTGGTGAAACCACACCCTGTTCCCGGTTATTCTTCTTAGTTATAGTTCTATAATGACCCTAACGATCATGTCAGTTCTATCAGTAGCTCCGTCACTGTCTTCAGACAAACTCGTACCCTGGCTCTACTTTGCCATGCCTACAAATATCTACCGCATTTAGTGCATGCTTAAATTTCGGCGTTAGACTCGCGCATTTGAGGTCTGTCTCATGCAACGATTAAGAACCAAAATCTCACGTAAAAGCGTAAAATATATATCACAGTATTTGTAGTCCTCTTCTTACCGTACTAAAAATGTTCCATCTACTGTACTACTTAAAAGGTAACATCATGTATGCCAACACTTTAGATATGTTGTTTTATAAATCGCTGTCGGATAAGATCAAAGGACGCATAAACAGTGACGTAAATAAGTTGTGAGGGGTCTTGGTTCAAGAGTACAGATGATGCTGTTGAGGCTAGAGGAGATTGATACTTAACGCCTAGGGGATGAATTTTCAAAAATCTCACGCCTGCAAATTTGTCTAACTTGGATTCTCTTGTTTAAACATCCATAGGGTGTCGCATACAATATTTTAAGCAAGAAAAAAAACCATTACAGACTATCCCACAATAATTATATACAAGATATCATATGAGCATTAAAATTGTTGAGTAATCGTAAAAATTATCTGCAGAATCATAATTTTCTTGTTTTAAATAGCTTAAACATGCAAACATCCCAACAAACAAAATTTCTGAAAAATTTTTTAAAAAGAAACATTGATGTACATATTGTGAAATGCCTACAATACATTCCCGTAATGTGTAGGTATCGATTATTCAGTTTCAGATTGCATGGTATCATTGTGTCAAGAAATGGTTAACCCTGTCTTTAATAGTGGATAAATACAAGAAAAATAGATGTAAAGCTCAATATTATTTACAAAGCACAACTTTAAAAATGGCAAGGTTCTACTTGCGTGTTGTTTTTCAAAATCTACTCCATTCAGATAAAACTATCAAGTATTATTAGATCTGTTAAATTTGACATAGCAGCCCAGGGGAAGTAAAAACTTTATCATAGACATCTTTAAAATTGTAATTACTGCAAAATCCTGATTCCCGATTTCAGATCCAGCATAGAAAAAGCCCATTGTTAAATTGCAGAGGTAAACAACTAAATTTTTCAAAAAAATCTAATCTAAGCTTACAGTAGGTTTTTGTAGCTTGATCAATTGCGAAAAAAATTGCGAAAAAAAATTTAAAAAAAAATCTTAGCAGAAAGATTATCTGTGGCCTGTGAGAACTCTAAAAATAATTTGGCCCTTTAACCAAATTAATAAAGAACCAGGCCCGGGATTTATAAATCTCAGCTTAGCAAATATCTTAAGTCAAAAAAGTTTAGATGTCCCCTAGCAAATATCTTAAGCTGAAAATCAAACCATCTTAGCAAAATCTTAGCTTAAAAATCGTCTAAGGTGCGTCATACGTACTATCGACTTTTTAATTTTAAGCAATTTTTAAGTTAAGCAATATTGATAAATTTGACTTAAGCAAAAAAATGGACTTAGATGAATTTAAGCTGATTTCTACAGTAGTTTGTAAATCTGGCCCCAGGGCTATGTAGCCTTAAGGCTGGTTTCCTGTTGACTTAGGTCAGAATATTTTTTACGATTCTTTATGACTGTAATGACAAGTTGGACTAAAAGGATACAGTCTTGATTGTGCTAGACAACTGACATGTTAACGTAAGACTCTTACTTACGAGGTAACTTTTTCAATCTCAAACTAAAACCCTGTCCTAAAGATGTATAAAACCCTGTCCTAAAGATGTATCTGCCTTATATTTTTCTTGAGCTGATTTGATATCTACAAATGAAAAATTGTATGGTCACGAGACCATACTGAATAAAATAAAACAAAAAAAACCCCTACATTTTAACACTTGCCAATACCCAGGTTAAAAAAGCAGAATGCTACATTTTAGCATCAGGAGCAGGAGCATATGGTGGAGCATATGGTGAAGCATATGGTGGCGGGTTGTCATACCACTCTTGGGTAGGTTGCTGTTGGTACTGGTACTGGGGCTGCTGTTGGTTCTGGTATGAAGGTGGTGGTTTGTACGGCATTTGTTGTTGTTGACCATACTGTGTAAAGCCTGGTGTCAATTGTGGTTGCGTATATCCAGTTGGATTCTGTCGACCAACATATCCTAAAATTTGAGTATAAACAAGACAACATAAAACATACTCTCATCCAAATTTATGACAAATAATGCAATTAGGTATATTTTGTTAAACACAAACAAAATCTACTCAAAATTAATTTAATCCTTTGCTACAAAAAAAACAACATATTATTTGAAATTGCTATTTCAAAAAGAATAGGCGCAGTAAAAAAATATATAACACAAATAGTTCTTTAAATGTGAATATTAATATCTGAAAAAGGCCCAGTCAGACTGTTTTTCATCATAATCAAACCTCTGTGCAAATATTAATTGAATTTGGTTGGTTCATTAGTTTTTATGATTTTATATATTTTGACATAAATTTGAGCATTTGCCATTTTAATTCAAGGATGCTAAATTTCACAAAAAGAACTGGCAATGAGTACAATTCATTTACAAATTAAAGGCAAAAATGCATTGAATATTATAAAATGATAGTTTGAGGAGTGAAAAATACTTACAAAACTTTTAGTTTATGTAATATGCTCCTCATTTACTAAAATAAATATTTAGTACCTAACATGTATGTACCATGTTACTGAATGAATAGCTGTTAAGACAACTTTTACATACCTGAATGAACTACTTGAGCAGTAGTAGCTACTGGATGTGTTTGAATCACAGTCTGTGGATTACATTAAACAATTAGGTTTTTTAATATCATGACTAAGTTTCCACACATATTTGTTAAATAGTTCAACCATTATGAACTATAGATACAGTACTACAAATCTGAAATGGGGGCCCTTGATGATTAAGTTGGGGGGGGGGGATTTCTACCTCAACTTCCCTTTAAGTAATGATACTTAAAGGCTACTTTTAGTACTGGTCCTCAAGTAGAGGGATTCTATTTAGAGACTAAAGCTGCTGAAGACCACAAAACCGCCAGTCCCAAAAGTGGTCTTTAATTGGAGGGAGACCTGTAGTTCAATTCAGATACAGTAATTCATATTTTTATATATTATTTTGTAATTCCCATTTGGACAAGATAGACAAATTTGAATCTGAATATACAAAAAATTAAATATTCATAAATTGTACTGTAAAACATATTTGGATATAAAAAAATTAGCATACCACAGTTTGATTGGGTGTTGTGTGACAACAACAGGTGGTACCGCCACACATCACAGTGCTAGCATATATAGATATGAAGAACTCGACCACTGCAGTAAATGCCAACATACTGTTAACTGCAATCTTTGCACCCTAAACAAAAAAAAATTGTTACTTATTCATCTTTAAATAATAGCACATAAAATAAATACAAAATTTAAGCCCAGGAACCATAATACAAAATCAAATCAAAATAAAAGGGGATTCTGCTAAAGAGTTTTCCAATACCATAGAAAATGTACTGACTCTATTTCATTTCATTTCATTTATTTTGTCTCAATAAAATACATAAAAAACAACAACCGGTTACAATACAACAAAATAAAAGCATAAAAAATCTGAAACAGGCCGAGACAGAATTCCTAAAAGTGAACCAAATCACTATCATGTAGGTCTCCTAATGCACTATTCTGATTACACATAAAATAATAATAAAATGAACAATTGAAATAATACTTAAAATCTGTAAAATTTGCCTTAACAATAAATATATATATATAGAAATTGTAAAACTTATTTAAAATATAATTTAAGATCGTTTAAAAATGCTTTAGGATTCAAAACCAATAAATCCCTAGTTTCTACAGGTAGTTCCTCCCAAGCGTGAAAAATGTATACATTATAATTCAATTGATTAGGCTTTGCCTGCTGTGCAATAAGTTAGACCACCTTTCTGTAACCTTTGAGTCGTGCCCTAAAGTTTGGGTTGCAGAGAACATTTATAAGTTTGCACAATTGCTTCAGATTACTGGAAATGTTAGCTTTCTGAAATAACTTATTCGTAATGGATACTGATCCACATGCATCCCCCCCACCCTGGGCCTAGCCTACGCCTAGTTTATTCCAGTGTAAGTAGCACCAGTGCAAATATATAGCAAACACCGATTTTTCGAATACCCGCAACTGCGAACTGCTCTGGGCCCGTGCCGTAGGTAATTGAGGGGTTCTACTGTAACTACTTCTGTAGCCAAAGGAATTGAATGGACCATGCAGGATTCCCACTTGTCAGATCACCTGTATCACTATTCTAAGATTAAAGCTGTGTTTATGCTTTTAAATTGTTGACAAAAACATGCATAAATATGGTCATGATGACATTACATTATGACCATATATAGGTACATCTTGACAGTATATGGGTATAAAACAGCGCCTATAATGTATGAATGAATAATTAAAAAAAAAACACCCCTTCTTACCTCATTATCATAGTCATCATAATAGCTACAACCAGATTGACCCATAGCTCCTGACAGGTTTACTGCAAAATGAGTTACACTAAAGATAGAAGCTAGGATGGACATCACCATGCAGCCAATAATCTGGAATGTAAAAATGTAATGAATGAAAATTACTTATTAATAACCAGACACCAAATAGTTTTTATTAAAATTACATTTCATATGTTATGTATTTTTCAAATGTTATGCAAACACACCATTCCTTCGGCTCATTGACACAAGTTGGCACAAAGATAAAAATAAACTTCTTTTCAAACATTTCTTGGGCATAATACTTTGCAAAATGAACAGTTTACTAAGAATGTCCTAAAATTGAGCAGTTTTTCTAGGTGCCAGGGGCTCAGCCATCGTAACCCCAAAGCAGCTTTTGCAGAAATTGTTATCTCTTTTGAATCCACATCCTATAGACATCACGACTTTTGACACCACTGGGATTATGTCTGGACATCTGCAGAGACACTATGATGTGGCCCCCAACTTATAGTGAGCACTTCAATCCTGGATCTGCCATCGCAAATAAACATTTAATTTTTAATGACCTCAAGAATATAAACTTAATAGAACAGCATGATTTTATCAACTTATTTCTATTTCTCGGCTCATAGAAACAATATTATATACCATTACCATCAATTAAAAAAGAAAACAAAAAATAATATTAAAGTCAGAAAATTCAATAATGAAAAAGTTTAACTCACTGTACATGGTGATCTTCCTCTAGCAGCACACACCCCAAGGATACCAGCTGGGATGTAGAACTATTTAATAAGAATACAAAAAAAAAAATCAGGCCACAGGTGAGGAAAGAAAAAGAAAGGAATATATTTGACCTAGTTATTACAGCAGACACAATAAATCACAGTAAACCATATTGGGAAATATAAGATGAAGCAGATTAGGAACAACCAAATGTAACAAAGTATGTCAATTGGGGGGGGGGGCGGTGGGCATAGCAAAACCTGCGGAACTACAGAATGCAGAACACAAGGATGGGATTTTAACCACCCACCCAACTCTTACTAAAAATCATTAAAGACAATGGAATCAATTAGGAAGGAGATAACATACATATTTAATTACTGTACAGGAGCAATAACATGACTGATTCAGTTGCAAGTCCTAAAAGAAACTTAGCCCAGTGTAATCAGCAAGACCATATATACAGTAAGCCATGTTGCTAGTGAGACAATAATTCATAGTCATGAAGGCGGGATAACAAGTGCTTATGAACAGTTTTTAACACCAAGATTGGACAGTAGTTTAAGTAATGCCTTAAAATTACACCAATCTCTCAGGCACACATTCCACCTCCTTGATAAAATTTGTTTAACACTATATTTATAGCTAGGTTGACCCTTCAAATTTAGCTTATCATGCATGTAGGCTGTGGGGAGGGAGTGTGCATGCTAAAAATGACCATAAGTTTTCATTGGAATAGAGATTTAGTTCTGCATTCTTATTTTTCGCAACCCCAGGACGAAACCAGCCTAATGTATGTACCTCCTGATATTAACAGGGCCTCTTACTATAAATAAATATCAAAATCATAGTGAGACTCATACAAACAAAGTCTCATGCATTAAGCGTGAGACTCACACATCTGGGGTTTGTCTCACTCTCTCATGCTTAAGGACCAAAATCTCACTCATTAATGTACTATCTATATTATAAAATATATGTACTGTATACTAGCTGCACTAAAGTAGATGAATAAGATCAGAGGATGCGTAGATAGACATTGCCAGCATGCCAGTGTGAAAAAAATTGTGTGGACATAGGCAGACTCCAGGGCAGCTGGCCCGGGCCCCCAAAATTAACAAAATAATAGTGAAAAAAAATGTATTCAAATTTAAGAATGACAGTGCCATTTTTGGCCATCTAGAGGTTCCATATCATAAAATTTGTTACCTCAGCCACAACCATGGTGGGGCTCCGGTGGGTTCATTTATGAAAGTCCCTTATTGGGCCACCTCTATCACAAATTCTGGGATCCGCCACTGGGAGGCAACTTGAAATGCACGTATTCTCAAGTAAAGGCAAAAATGCAGATCCTCAATGCATTTTCGAGCACTTAGGAAACAAAATTTGGGGGGGGGGGTGTGAGGCGGGAGGAGATTGATTCCTATACCCATAGGGGCGGAATTTTCAAAAATCTTTCACCTACAAGTCTCTGGATACAGTACTTATAAATTTATTACAAGGTTTTAGGTAGTGGATATGTTTCTCAGTTGCGAGAAAAAAATCCCGGTCTCTCAGTGTCACACAAGATTTGAACCCAGGACTCTGGGAATTGGAAGACAAACTTCATCTCCACAGTTCTCTTTTAAGTCCCTGCTACACAAATTCAATCTTCTTGAAGCAGTTTGTTTTATTCACGTGTCTCCTCCAACATATCATACATAACAACCTCTTCTCCTCATCAGAGCCATATTATGGACGTATAAGACAATAATGGTTAAAATATACTTACAATAACGCCACACCAAATGGCATTTGCTGAATAAGAATTACAGGCATCAATAGCAATGGCTATGACACCAAGAACCACAGAGATGGTGCCACAGCTCACTTGAATCCAGCCACTAGTCTTGGCACTTTGCTGGTTTAGATTATCTCCAGGCAATGGTCCAACAGCATGTTGATATTGCACAGTTCCCGGTACTACAACAGTATGAGGTGGAGCTTGCTGTACGACTGTTGCCATCACTTTAACCTATCAAACTGTGAAGGTAAGGAAAAAAACCTGAGAAGAATGAATATGTTTCAACCCCAGTAGCAAAGCCAGCACTAAAAAAATGTGCAGTGGAGTGGTAAAGCCAAAAGTTAAGGTATGCCAATTAAACGCTAAGTTCAAGATTCTGGTTTCGACCTTCCCCACACATTGCCTGGGATAAAAACACAATTTGTCGGGAAAAAAAATTATTATTTGAGGTATGGCATCCATACCTCAAATGCTCAAATCTCTAGAACTACTGAACTTTATAGCCTTATGAAACCCACTAAAAGACCAAGCTTACATGATGTACCCAAATATGATAGACTTTGTATTTTGCCAACCATATGACTCATTATGAAGTGACCATTGTTCAACATCAATTTTAACTCACTTTTTGGCATTAAACATTAAACAATAATATGGGATCTGAAAACCCTGATGAAACTCCTAATACAACAAGTAACCAGTCAGCAGAACATGATCCTACAAAGAATGTGTATTGTTGTCTGTTGGAGAGAGAAGCCTGAGAGAAGATTGGAGTGAATACTCTAGTTGGTGGAAATGCTACAATGGAGATATAACAATGTACTGTACTCACGCGAATAAGCGCCCGGGCGCTTAAAAAAAATATGTTTGCACTTTTTGAGGGGCACCTATTTAATTAAAAACGATTATATAAGGACATTAGGAAACCGCAAATTACGAATGGTGGTGCGGCGGAAAAGATAATCGTCCACAGAGTATGGTTTGTCATGAAAAGAATGTTGTGAGTCTATTACATAACAGCAGAATAGCAGATGAAATTAGTGGTGGGTGTGGTTAACTTGTTAGTCATCGGCCGATTGAGATTAGCAGGATGGCATGATCACTGCAGGTTTTTTTCCGAAAACACAGATGAGAATGTGTTAGGTGCAAATTGTCGAAAAAGCCAATAGGACTAGGCTATAGAAAAATATAAGAAAATGAAAGTTGCAAATATACTGTCTGTCCAGGGAGCTCTCATCTGTCCAAGATAAATATCCTCGTTTTGATATTGACTAAAGGAGAATGTGATTCCACTCCACACCTCAAATCATGCCAACATCCACAGTCCAGGATTGATTGAATTATTTATTTTAAATTAGAAGGGGGCACTTATTTGCGCGAGTACGGTAGTTATGTAGACCCTTGGTATGGTATTCAAAGGTTTTGTAAGGTGACCCTATAATCCAAGCTGCTGTACCTTTGTGACCCAGCCTTTATCCATCTACACTTGTTCACAAATCTTCCTCTTGGAATATGATTTTTAAAAATTAAAATGGTAAATTGACAATATAAGAATTAGATAAGTCCCTGTCAATAAAACAATTCGCGAAGAGGAGTATTAAAAATATTGAGGCTAACAATATGGGACTAATCTGAAGGCTGACGTTGTTCTCTATCGAAAATTGATTTCACATCCATGGATTATGTACAATTCTTATCTATTTACATACACTTAATAATCTTCACATGCACATTTATCTGCTAAAAAGTTACCAACAATGATAAAGTGATGGTGTTCTACTGTATATATAAATAGCCGTGGGAAAAAAATATTATCAGCCTGATGCTCTCTGTTTGAATAGTGATCATATCAAAATGATAGCATGTAGCAACAGGCTTGGTGAACTTGTAAAAATTCAAAACCTTCTGTTGACTGCTCATTGATCAAACTTGGGAGCATTATACAGCACGATTTTAAAACATTTTCATCGTAATAAAACAGCTATAAATTTAACACAAACAACTTAAAAAAAAATTGGTGTATGAATTCTAATAAATATTTGCAATGGATTTTATTGGTCCATTTTAAACAAATTTTACGTCTAATGGTTACACATTGTGTGAGTAGTGTGTAATAGACATGCAAAACAAACATTGGCCCAGACACATTGGCCCAGACGTGATAAATTCAAAAAATAATTTTCACTTGCGGCAATACTGTGCCTAGCTCTTCTCAATGTTTTTGAGGTAAAACAACGTAGGTATCTGTCATACTCACAGATACACTTCAACTGTACATTATCCATGTAAAATAAATTAAAAATACAGTACCGTCATGAAATATTGCACTTTTACCTGCGCGCAGGCTTCGTAGATACATCGTACTGTAAAGAACGTCAGCCTTCTGATTAGTTTCATAGGCCTATTTTATTTGTCCTAATATTTAGAATCCTCCTCTTTGCGAATTGTTGAGACTCATCCAACAGTTCTTAAATAATCATTTTAACATTTTAATCTAAAAAAAAAAATGGATTCCAAGAAAAGGAAGATTTGCGAACAAGTTTAGGTGAATGGAGGCTGGGTCAGTGAGGAAAGGCCTAGGCTAGCTAGGCTTAGGCCGAATCGATCTAGGCCAACCTAGGCTAGGCCCTAGTAGTAGGATTATTTTTTTACTTTAGGTGTGTTATTTATAAAACAGTGTTTTGTATTCTTACAATCACAATGGAAAAAATATTTTCATTCCTTGAAAGATTGACTGTTCCATTCAACTCGGCTCGCGCCTCTTTTCGCCTCGTTGAATATGGAAAGGCAAAAGGACAAAATACAAGTGGCAGCAGTGCAAGTTTTGCACTGCTGACTCTGTGTTTTGCACTGCTGACTCTGTGTTTTGCACTACTGACTCTCAGTTTTACACTGCTGCCACTTGTATTTTGTCCTTTTGGTTGTTCCATAGTTGAATGGGACAGTCAATCTTTCAACGAATGAAAATATTCTTTCCATTGCAATCATAAACATTCATTGTATACTAAATACTATTATAAGTCAATCGTGACATCACCACTGTAACTCCCAATGTTATTTGCCTATTTATTTTAAAGACTCAAGGAGCAAATTTAGATGTAGGCCTACTACTACTAGGCCGTAGCCTAGCCTAGTTTTGAAATCATCGCACGATTTTACCTGTCTGCATGCACCGACCAAAAAGGACGTCAGTGACTGTATTCTCTCTCAAATGCTGAAATGTTTATTTCTTTGACGAAATCTATCAAAATAGCATTACAATTAACAAGTTCTTTGTAACACAATAGTTATTCATCGTATCCGTACTGTACTGCTATGTAGTTAATTAAACGCGTACTACAGGAGCAAAATAAATGTAAATATGCACACTATACTGATCATATCACTATAGCAACCGATGACTGCTACAACAGTTGGTTAAAAAACTAAAATTAAAAGACGGCGACTGACTTATAAAGCAAATTTAGTAGAGCATGCATCGTACATTAAATGGAAAATTATTATACTTAGGTTCGATTTAATGCATTCAAATTTTTTCAAGCATTAAATCTAACCTTCGTACAATAATTTTCCTATAGTGTACTATGCGGAGCTCTACTAATTGCTTACTATAGACCGGACTAGTCTAGGCGGAGCTAGGCTAGGCAGGGTACGCTAGGCCTAGCCAAGCCAGAGGCATAATAATGTTGATATGAAGTATGCTGGGCCTATCTTTATCCTAATCTTTCCCAGCAGTATATGAAAGAAACAAATCTATCAACACTAACAGGATACCTGCTACAAAATAGAAATAGACGACAACAAAAATCTACGATAAATCAATGTTATGTCGTAAACGTTATGGCTGACAAGCTCCGTTGTTGGTTAGTTGTGTATTAATAATCATTACGTCATGTTTTAAAATAGACTGGCGGTGAGGGAGCACTCCACTTTCGGAAAAACTACTGTTGCACCGTTTGGTCTGAATACGATACCGTATATGGAGTGCGATATCTCATTCTGGACAGCGCCACCAACGAGGAAGTTAATTAAGAGACGGAATAAAAAAAAAATCACGCCACCAACGAGGAAGTTAATTTAGAGACGGAATTAAAAAAAAATCATATCATGTAAAGATAATTATTTGTCCCGAATTATAATTTGTATTTTTAATGTATTACTAGGGATAGTCCCTGCATTCAATAATTATTGTACTGTTATTTACTACCAACTATTGCCCCGGCGTAACTAATTTGGATCAAGACGGCATTTACGAAATTATCTTCCTATCATGCACGATCAAAGAAAGTATTGAATACTTTCTTTTACTATTTTACTATTTGTATATGAAAGAAATACTAATTATAGTTCCGTGCATTTTAGAATTCTGAGAACAGGCATAGGGCCATCGTAATTGTTATTTAAAAATAAAAGAAACATCGTACCGACGTCATCTAATTTTCTACACTAATTTAAGTGTATGGGTAGACTTGCAGGGTCTTGAAATTATTAAATTTATATCACCATAAGCTATAAAAATTTAGAAAAATTTAATAAAATTGAGAAATGAGAAAAAAAATATATTTAATTAGCGGGGTGGTGAGGGGGGGGGGGGAAGAGCACATTACTTACAGGGGTATAATTGTCTCTCACAGTCATAATACTTTGAGTAAGATAGTTCCCTATCCATGCCTAGGCTTAGATTACTAGGCCTGTCGCTAGGGGCCTTGGTTGGGCCGAAAAGTTGACTCACTTCACGAGGTACAACGACAATGAGGAACGCTTCGTCCCACTAATTTTGTGTTGACGTTGAGAACGTTTCACGTTCGTATCATTCTAAATAATAATTTTGTTACTAAAATAATCAGTAAATCCAGTGCAATAAATAAAAATACATACTTAATAAACTGATTAACAATCAAACACATTTTGCATCAATGAGGTCCCATGAAAATTTTTAATTGTTATGATTATTTAAGAAAGAATAATGCCGGGCACTCACTTCGTTGAACGACAAATTCAACTCCGCTCCCTGCGAAATATAATTTGACCAAATCAATCTTCTAATCAGGCACGTTATTTTTAAGGCATTAAAGTATGATCTAATGTCAATCATACGAAGACCCCAATTTCAGTATTCTTCATGATTTGTTATCGAGCGATTTTATCTTTACCTTTCCAAATAAAGGTAAGCATGTGTGTATTAAACATGTTAATTATTTTATCTGCTAGATTTGGATTTGGTAATGATAGAATAAGGAAGTGTAGCTTTGATAACTGTATGGACTTTACTACTGTATTCTATCCAAGACGGCTAGGTACCCTTTGGACCACATGATTTTAGAGATTTAATAAACTTCTTCGAGGCATACACTCGGCTTAACCACAAGACGAGAGATCTTTATAAACATTTCCAAAATGTTAAAGGCTTCTCCAAAAGAGATCGTATGTGCCGTTTAAAACTTAGTACTCATCCACATTGAAAGATGCGGTACTCAGTATTTCGAACATTATACCTTTCATATCTTGACTTTGACGCACCATATACGCTACTCTACTGCTGCGCACAGTAAATATCAATAACAACTTATAATAGGTTTGTGCATTATATAAAATAATTTAATCCATTTTGTGTATGATGGACCAAAATTTAATTTGTTTAAAAGACGGAAATGGTAAACGATGAAAAAGATTTTCTATAGCTTTCTCGTAAGTCAATTAATACTGTAGAAGCATACTGGGAAGCTTTTCCTTCTCAGCACCTGTACATAGTTATATTATTTTCAGCAAAGTATCTATTACACATAAAACCTTTGTTGTTCCCCAATAATAGAGAGCAGCACAAATTTTTATTCATTTCACAACTAAACATGAGGACATTAACTTAAAAACATTTATTGTCATTATTTCATTAATTTACGAAGCTGTACAAGAACTTCATTTTCAAGTCAATAACTTCTTTTATATCACCTGAACAAAAAAGTTACTAGTTAGAAATTCAATTCTTTTTCTGAATTTGTTTCTAGTCCTCTTTCTTTTTATCTTTTTATGTGAGGTGAGAAATAAGTGATTGTTTTTGTCCGTATATTTACATAACTATAATTTCAAATAGAAGCTGATCGTTAATATTATAATCAGATTCATCGTTTATATTTCTATTTTTATTTTGGTTTGTTATTGTTTCTTTAACGATGTTTATATAGTCAATAGGCCTATCTTGTAATAGGGAATTATTAGATTTCCAGTATCCCTATACCTTATTCAATTTGCTTTAAACAAGCCCGAATATTGATTAAAGAATTTGCCTGTTCTATATCCAGGTTTAATGTTACATTTACTAGATAAACTTTCCTTGCGATTACTGTGTCCTGATAGACATAATTAATATCGAAATATTGAATCCCGACAAGATGACGTGCATTTCGATATTTGGAGTATGTATTATACTATCTTACCTGAAATTCTTAGTTTTATTTTTGCATCGTTCCAATCCCCACAAACAATGTTAAATTTCACTATTCATCACTTTAGGCCATTGGCCCTACATAAAGAATCATAAAATAATAGTGAACAACGTAGAATATAAATTGTTAATTGTAAAAGATTATCTATCTCAGATAAATTTATAGTTATAGATAATTATTAGTGTAAATTCATTAGGGGAAATTTTTGTATCATGAATAAAGGACGACATCACAGGGGTATACAACAAGTCAATTATATCCTTCTTGGAATTGTTGTGATTTTCAAAGTAACGTAGTGTTGGTAAGAAATTTTCTTTCCCTGGTAGAACAAGTGTGCCTTTCACAAGTATACGCTTCAATCACCTATTATAGGCCCATGCTTCAATTGACGAGCTGAGTGGCTGCATTAATAAATATTATTAGGTATGTACTGTATTCAATCACTTCACCTCAACTCACCGTGAAATGAAGTTATTGTGACAATTTGTGTTATATTATGGGCACTTAAACTTACAACTATATATTTTCTACCTAAAACCAATAGATATTTGGATTATCGTATCGTTATTCAAACTCTCCATTGCTGATTTGTTATACTTATTCTCATTAAAACGGGACATAATGTAATACTGTAACGTACGGTACTGTTGTCAGCGCAGGTCTAATAATAAATCACTCATTCAACAGGAATATACCTATAATATGCCTACTGAATATAACAACAATAGACGCCTCCAGTAATCAGAAACTCAATTTGTCGAATCGTGGGGTGACGCAGCCCTACCTATTGTGTTATGTGTACAGTGTCGTACCTCAATAAGCATTTCAGCCATTCTTCTGTTTTGTAATACAATGGTGACACAAAATAAACGGTAAATTACTGTACCTAGTACGTCAAACAACCGTTAACAGCACTCGCTTTAATATGGCCTATACTGACTGTTTCGTTTGGTTAATATTTTTCACAACGCTGACAGCTCATGGTATTTATATATTATATTATTTTGCTATACGTTTTTTAATTAACTTTAGTTATAAGTGAAGGAAATAATTTTAAATGTAGGCTACATAGGCCTATGAATTGTGAGCTTTTAGATTATTTCCAGAATTCTGTTAGGCAGTTAAATTAGCATTTAGTTTTGAATATCCATTTTCGAATGTCTTGAGTAGTTATAGTCTGAATCATAGTAGCACCTAAGGCCTATGATCTTGTAGACCACTGTTTTTTAATTGAAAAACTGCGAAACATTGACATTGATGAAGACTTAGTCGACCATTGGGTGGAATCTTAATTTTTAAGTAACCGGCAACACCGTGTCAAAGTAGGCAATGTGGTGGCCTCGTGGATATCCCTAACGGAGGTATCCCCCAGGGTTCATGGCTAGGCAGGGGTGGTGCC